TTTCTTTCTTTCTTTCTTTCTTTCTTTCTTTCTTTCTTTCTTTCTTTCTTTCTCCCTCTTTGCAAGCTAGCCTAGCCGGTAGCCAGCACTGCATTTCAAAGTAACAAATTCCAAAGCTGAATTCCACGTTGTGTAAAAAAAACCAAAAACTTCCTTTTGTCTCCATTCTTCCAGGATTCAATTTCATTGGATGACTTCATGTTCTAACATGGTTTTTACATGATTCACCTACCGCCTCCTGAAAGATCAAAAGGGGAGACAGCCTTTTCTGCGGTGGCTGAAATGTATGAGAGGGGCCTATTTTGGCACCAGCTGAAGACTTTTCTATTTTCCAGGCTTTTTAAGTGCCTTTTAATTGTATTTGAATTCATATTATTTTAGATGTTGAATACTTTGCTGCCGCCTAGTTTTCATTTTGTGTTTTATTTGATTTTGTTGTATATATGTTTATATTCAAATTGTATCATTTGATAGGTTTTATTATAAACCCCTCAGGGAGCTTTGGCAACCAGATAGGCTAAATATTTTGACTGACTGACTGATTGATTTACCTGTAGACTTTAAGAGTGCTATCAAGCATATAGAAAGTACCCTAATTCCTATTGCTCTAATTCAGGATCCTGAAGCAAAGATCTCCTTTCCTAGCCGAGTGCTAAACAGACAAGTGTATTCTGGGTTCAGAAAAATTGCAAACAGATGGCTCAGGAAAGCTACGATGATTCATTCATGCCAACCCCACCATCCCTCGCCCCTGCTGACCACAGATGAAAGAGGCAAATTAGCAAAAGCCAAAACATTCTGGGAAACAAACTCTATTTTTTTAAAAACTGGGATCAAAGAAAAGAACCAAGCTTGGCCTAAGCCCTTGAAAGTATCTCAAAGTTTCTCCAGACGTTTCTCCTAAGGTATAAATTTTTTGTGTGACAGATGGAGCAAATTACACAATATACAGGAAATCACATGCACTTAATCTTAATTAAATGTAATGTAAAAAGAGCTTGCTCTGCTTCCATCTACTTCGTGCAGAAGAATCTTCCTCATGCGCTCAAAAGGCACTGGGTTGAAAGCCCCGTTCCACAAAATGGGTGGGTGTTGTGAGTGGATGCAATTATTACCAAATTCCATCAGCCTCCATCAGGCAAGCAGATTCAGCAAGAAAAGAGTTTTCCCCAGCAATCCGTTTGGTATCGCCTGCCACCCTCTTCTTGCTGAGACAAATTCCACAAATCCAGAAGGCACATCTTGATCTGATTTGGGCTGCGTAGAAAGAGAATCTGACCAGACCCTTGGAGGTTTCCCACCAAAACCTACCTTGCAGGTTAACCGCCATAATCTTCTCAGGCCGGACTCGGCCCCAGACGTCCACCAGACCGGCCGTGTGAATGACCACGTGGGCGCCTTTCACCGCTGCCCTCACGTCCTCTGGGTTGCTGATGTCTCCCTGGATCAGAGTCACTTTAATTTTCCAGAGCAAAAAGAGAGAAAGAGAAAGAGAGAGAAGGAGGGAGTGAATGGGGTTTTCAAGGGATGCTCAGAAGCCTGCACCACAGTGCAGAGAAAAAGACACAGCAACAAGAGAGAAACAACGGGATAGAACAGACCTTGTTGCATTTGTCCTCTTCCTTTCCCCAGGCAAGATCAGATGGGCAGAACAGAAACAAGAGGACATGGAGAACTGGGCAAAAGCTCCAAGGGGGCAGAGTTTGGAACATGGGAATGGTGCCTGAAAATGGCAAGCTGAAAGCATGCCAGAACTCAGTTCTGCATCTTGTGTCTTCCCACTAAGAATACTGGGAGCTCCACAGAAGCTTCTGTTCTGCCCTTCTACTCTTTACACCCCCTTTGGGGGTGGGGGGGGATGAGGAGCATGAAAAGTCATTCTAAAGTATCAGAAAGTTCATGGTGGCAGCAGTAGCCGGCGGCCGTGTCTTTTAATTTTTGTATTGTCGTTTTTAACTTTACTTTTAACTTTGTTCGCCGCTCGGAGTCGCTTGTTGAGATGGGCAGCCATACAAATTGAATGAATGAATGAATGAATGAATGAACAAATAAATAAATAAATAAAGTAGAACAGTGGCGGCATCAGCAAAGCATTGACCTGCCAAAGCAAGTGCTTGCTAGGATTAAAGCTTATGTCAAGAAAACATGGGGAGGAAGGCTATTAAAGAAGGAGGCATGATTAAGAATGCTTCCAAACTATGATTTGTTACCGCTTGAAGGGGGTTCAGGATCTGACTGATCTCACAGTATCATCTATTTTAGCAGTGTCTCTCAACCTCATCGGCTTTAAGATGTGTGGACTTCAACTCCCAGAATTCCCCCAGCCACACATCTTAAAGTCGATGAGGTTGAGAAACGCTGATTTTAGAGAGCTCACTTGATTATTTCTGACTCTGTTCCCTATGGATTTCCATTGGAGTCACTATGGATTTAGAACAACAGTCTCCAGAATGGGGGGCACACGCCCCAAGGGGAGTGGAAGACGATTTACTGGAGAGTAAAAAAAAAAAAGATAAGTTGTCTATTTATATTTATTATTTAATCTAAAAAAAGAGAGAGAGAAAGAAATTAAGCTCTACTCATAATTAATAACAGGATATACAAAATATCTGTGGGGTATGTTTTAGAATATATGTAATCTATTAGTACCATCATACGTATATGTATATTGTATAATTTCCAAATAAAGAAACATACACGTATTGGGAGGGAACCAAAAAAAGTTTACTGCTCAGGGTAAGGTCAACCCTGATCAAAAAAGGTTTGGAGATCATCAGTTTATGCAAGCTTCATTCCTTTTTCCTGCTTGCAAGAAAACTGAAGGTCTCAAAAATTCAAATAACTTTGTGGAGTCTTGGAGGGAATAACTGGATACAAAACCAGAAAATGAAAATGGTGTAGATTAGCAAAACCCAGCCTTCAATCCTCCTATGGTATTTCAATCTTCCTTACCGAGGTCCCTGTGTGCACATATTCTCAGTGATGTAAACGATTGCAACAGGTTACTCACAACTTGCATTAACCACCATGAGCTGAAAGTGACACCACACTGCTCCTTCAAGAGGAAGGAACAGACCCCAGCACAGTGATATCACAGGTGCTTCCTTCCCAAAACAGCATTGCCTTTGGCTTATACAAAACAGGAGGGAAAAAGCAAGAATTGTGCAGTGAGAACTCCAGACAGCACCATCCATAAAAAACATGGTAGAATTTTACACCCCTGGACAACAACATGGTACAATTCTAAAGCACCATGCTGGGGTGTATGTAGCAGTTAGCACTTATTCTCAAGTAGATGAGCAATTGTGGTCTCAGAATGCTAAACGTTTCCTCTTCCCTCCCCATTCCTTTTCCTTTTGTGTTATGTCTACTAACATCATTACCTTAAATAAAGGACTATCTTACTATGTAAGCCACTCAGGCTAAGAAGTGGGGCATAAATATTTGAAATAAACAAGCAAAGAAGCAAAGATATTTAATCAAGTTGCTATCTTTCCTAGATCTAGAGCTTGTCTTAAGCCCCATCTTGCAACACGGCTTGCATTTGATGCCCCAAACTTCAGATGAAGAATGTTGGCAACTTTTAAAAGAGATGGTAGTGTAATGGTATGTGGGAAAGACCTTGGGAGACAGGGCCAAGAGATACCACCTAGGGAACGGTCAGATAAGAGACTGCACAGCCCGCAAATGGATAGTGGGTGGGGCAAGAGGCTCCCTAGTTTCTCAGGCTGTAAAGGAGATGGGGAGAGATTTATGCTTTCACACTTGCAAGATTCTGCCAATGTAGCTTTACAATAAAGTAGAATTAGCTCATCTGGTTGTGATTCCTATCTAGTTTGGTTGTGATTCCTGTCTGAGCAAAGCTACTTTTGCAGAATTTTGCATCTGAGAAAGAAGGTCCCTTAAGAATTCACCCATGGACAAATTCTTTTATGTTTCATTCACCTGCTACCAAAGCTGCACGAGATAAGAAATAATTATTTGAAGCATTGCTGCCTCTTCCCTTGTAGACATGGCAAGGTCACGTTAGCAAAACACAACCTTGAGGTTATCTCAATCAATCGACTGTGGAAGAGGGGACTAAGAGCAGTCATGTGAGGCTAAGTTTAATTCAGAGAACTTAAAAATACGGTGACCCACTTCCTATTTTTGCTTTCTGACAGATGAAGCAAACCTCAAAATAGATTTTAAAATGCTGCTCTTTAAAAATAAGATAAGGGTTAAAAAAAAGAGAGAGAATTTGGGATTATGAATCATTCGACTCAACAGTTTCAGAATTAACTATTTTGAAGATCATACAAGTCCCATTTTGCTGCTTTGACAGTTTCGAGGCACACAGGACAATTTCTCTTTTCATTTTAACAGACGCAGCCTTGAGTTGGCCAACTTTATGAGTATAGTCTGTGTATTTTCCTAGCAACGAGGAAGTAACTTGCCACTGCTTTAGGCCAGAATATAATTAGAATTACACTACTCGTAATAATCGTCATCATCATTACTAGTAGTGTTAGTATTATTTCTCAGTCCATCCTATAGCTGGAATGGTTGTCTCCCATCCAATACAGTAACTAAATCTGACCTGGGAGTTGTATCAAGACTACTGGGGGACTCCGTGCCTCTCTTGGAGAAATCTCCTAATCAGGAAATTAAAAGTACTGAGGCTAAGCTTAGCCCTAACTCTGATGGAACTGGACACAACCTGGAAAGAACAAGATTAATAAGCACAGTCCAAACTATCGTTCTAAACAGTTGTCTGCAACTTGTGCCCTCCAGATGTGCAACCACAATTCCTCAGGACTCTGAGTTTTCCAGGGTTCCACCAATCTGAAACATATGGAGAACAACTGGGTTGAGTGTTGGCAAATGTTTTATGATTGTGTACGTGGGAGAATCATCATCGCATATGGGTTGAGATACTTGTTTCAGCTCTCTGAATTGACTTGCTTGGAAATGGACTGGTTACAATAGACTTCTAAAGTCTGGTTGCACTCTATGCCTTCAGACAGTGGATTACGGGAGCTTCCTCAACTCTGACATACCAAGATAATATAGTTATTACCTCCACCTGACAGATAAGTGACTTAAACATTTTCTTACCCACCGTTTTAAGCTGGAAAGAGACAAGGAAGGAGTGTAGATTAAAACTCCTCAAAACTCTTTGTGTGATTAACCTGTGATTAACTTCTGTCCCTCGGAAGAGACAAGCATGGGACAGTTCTATGAGGAAGGTCACTTGGGGAAACCAGGAGAAAGCAGAGGGCTGAGACAGAAATGTAAAGAACATAAGCCACTGCATGAAGCAGTGGATGGGCATGGTAGAAATAAGTTGGGTTGCAAGGACAAAAGTAAAATGGAAGATAGAAGAGTAAACTAGTTTGAGTTAGATTTCCTTTTCTCTCCTGTCTATAATTTATTTTGCTTACTACTTCTTATTCTCTTCTGAGCTTTGCATAACATTGTTCACCCCAAACAGGAATAATGGGATACTGTGATGAGTATATATGCAGAATAAAATAGTAGTAGTAGTAACGGCTAGTCTAGCTTAAGACTGGTGATTTTTCAGGGCAGAAATGAGATCTATCCTGCTGGCTTTAACAGTAGCAATGGGATCAATCAAAGGAAATCCTCTTTCAGGTGGCTAAGTGGGTCACGGCCAGGGGAACGGGAAGACAAAGACACCTCCCCCCTCCCCCGGATTTTATGCAGCTTTATCAGGTTCAGAAAGTAATTCACTCTTTCTCTTCTACTGCGTAGTCCGGAAACCTTCCAGGAAATCCTGCCGTGACAATGTGCTGCAGAACACCTGCCAAGAACCAGCTGTCACAGTTTCCATGGCTGTTCCTGAAAAACTAATCTGTTCCCCGCCTTCAGCCATGAACCTGGATCTGCTTTGTTTTCCCTCCACCTGCCTTCCCCCTGAGATCAGAAAAGTCCTCACGCTCATTTCTTTTAGTCCAGATGGGCAGAAGCTACACTCATATCTTCCCACCCTTTATTCACATCACCTCTTTGGGGGGGCTGGGGTCTTGGGAAGTACTGTCTTAGCAGCCCCCAAGCCAAGCCTGATTTCTAGAAACACCCTAATTACATGTCATTGGAACAGCCTTCCTGTAGCTGGCTCCAGGCTGAGGGACAGAAGATCCCACTTGGTTTCAGTTACAGCTGTCTGAATACAATGCTTCTTGTATAGCAAGTCCCAGCAATGCAGGAAATGTGTGAGAAATATATGAGAGCCAGGGGTTTTCACGGCAGAGATACCAGTGATGTCAACAGCCCATAACTGGTCAGTTTTAAGGCTAGGAAACTCGGGGCAAAGAGTTGACTGAAGGGGGGGAAATGAGCAAAAGGTTTAAACTGCCCTGGGTATAAAAGGGTGCTACACCCTCATGCTGAGAGAGGGCAATCACCCATCTAATGGGGCTTCATTCTGGTTTGCAATAAGAATTCAGCTGGCTGTACCATGCTCAGTTTCTGAGCAACTTCAGCTGAGTTCAAACCTATTAGTCTAGTTAAGCTGTGAAAAGTTGAGA